TAAAGAGCGAACGTTTTGACCACTAGACAGTGTTTTATTGCTATGTAATTTAGTGAGTGAGTGAGTTAATATTTAATGTCACATCGGCAATATTTCAGCCATATCGTGACGAGAACATTTGATATTTAAATGAAATATATGTATATTACAAAAAAAAACCCATACAGTATAAAAATGGGCTATAATTCGCCAATAACTGAAAGTAGATCACCATACCAGGGACGCTATGTAATTTAGGAACAAACAATTAATACACATTTATGATACATACCAGTTTATATCAAGTAGTTTTACATGAGATGAGAAGAAATCTTTCAGATTTAGTGCTTGGGAATGTGAATACCTTCAACTGGTATGTCCACACAGTCAGCCAAAGTATGATGGTAACCATTCATCAAAGGGACATCATTTGGATGGCTTTTCTTGTAGATTTTTGTAAGAAAACCGTCTGTGGCCAATACGTCAACGTCGTGAAATAACCTCATAATGTCATGATTGACAACTCATGAAGAAACTGACAGATTGTGATTCTGCTAAAAGAAGTACATATTCATGACATAGTCAGATACAATCAGCTCTGCTTTCAGCAGTGATTTTTTATGGATATGGAAAGGTTTTGGTCGCTTCTGATCAAATCAATGAAGTTAATTGATTCCTTCCTGGACATTCAACCGTTTTGCATAGAACCCGGGTAGGACTTTGATAGTGGATTGAAATCGCTGTACGAGGTAAGTAGTGGAAATAATAGTTTGCCAAGAGCTGCTTTAACTGCAGCATCGTCCTTTGCGTTTACTGCCATGCTTTCATAACATGGTAGCCAGCCAAAGTAGGTGTTACTTTGACCAGTATTGAGATCGTTATCGTTTATTCTCCAGTAGGAGGTTGTAAAGGTCTAAAATGTCAATGATTATTGGATGACTCAAGGAGGCACTATTGTGTGCGTAAGTGAATCTGAAATGAGGATGAAATGTTTTACAACGGTTATTGAACTTTTGTTCTATTCTTGGGCAGGGCTTGGATCAAAGCTGTGACGAAATATTGAATGGGGACTTTTGTCTCTGAGTTCTTATTGCAGACAAATGGCTTGATCGCCATGACTGAAGTTATCTATGACGAAATATCCCCACGTCCCTTGCAGTGTTAATGTTGGACCTATATTTTAATATTGGCAGTTCTCTTTTATAATGCCGTTTTAAGATATTTTTACCTAAATATCTGTGATGTAAATCTAGTACTTTTACTGTTCTTCAACAACAGGTATTAATTACTATTGTTATTGACTGCATCAATTAATTGGCTTCACGATATGGCTGAAATATTGCCGATATGACGACAAGTATGAACTCACTCACTGTTACATCAACAAGACTATTAAATTGATAACTTGATATGGAGCTTTTTATAAACCTAAAACGGAGAAGTCCCTAGTATGGTGATCTACCTTCAGTTGTTGGCAATCTATAGCCCATTTTACATTGTATTGCCCAGAAATAATTTTCTACTTTTAAAGATATATGCTAGCTAGTTTTAACTCAATCTGTGATAATCTAGTGGTTTTACTGTCCTTCGTTGACAGAGTTTTATATATTATATGTATGTATTATAAATTTAGAACTAGTTTTAGTCACGATATGGCTGAAATATTGCCGATGTGACTTTAAATCTTAACTCACTCACTCACTAAAACGGAGAAAGCCTTTCTATGCTATTGCTGTTGCCTATACGACTAACTGTTACATACATGTAAACAGGAATCAACTCATTGTGTTCAATCACCAGCGGATTTAGAGCCCTTGAGAAAAAAAGAAAAAGGAAAAGAAAAACACACATAACTCACATATCATAAATCAAACAAATCTACATCCGCAGAGGACAAAATGAAATACTTCAAAGCCAGAGAATAACTTGTGTCGATTCTAGGGCTATCACGCATAAGGGGCGCAACTCTAATCAATGTTCTAGTGTGGACAGAACAATTCCGGATAGGTGCGCAGCAAAAGACGGCAATATCGATCAAGCGTTCAGGTTTATTTTGTCTGTAGCTTGTCATTTCTGGTCTGTAATCGATTATTTACAAGCGATATAATAGTATGAATGCAGCGTTGTTCTGATTGCACAGTTTGAGATGCATTGATCTCTAAGACTTACAAATCCTTTTACAAATCCTTTTCAGTGGATTCTAAAGTTTCAGTATATTACATCCTGATAACGATTTCTTTCAATATAGATATTCTACATCGAAGCAATGAACGCCGTTCGAGAATCATTTGAAAAAACTAGTGTATCATGGCATGACGAGTTCTTTTGTGACCATTTCATTGATGTATGACACGACAACGTTCTTATGCTGGTATTTTCAAGGGGAGATGTATTGTCATAACCGGATATTGCAGTGTCATTTAGTAAAGTTTTAAGTTAAAAATTATACGACTTGAAATGGAAGCACAAAGATCGATAAACATTAGGAGCATTGAGCCCTGAGCCTTTGTCTAGCGCTGGTGATAAGGTTTAGTTTGCGAGTAATGCTATGTTAAATATAATTACCAAATACATTTAGCAACCAATGTTAATTTACTAATGGGTCACACTATTTATTTGCTTGTAACTTGCCAATAGTAAATGTGATAAGGTATGCTCATGGAAAGTAATATTTTGGCACAGATTGGGTTCGTAATAAATTAAATATGTAAAACAAATGAAATTGTAATGATGGGCGAATCGAATCAGCAAACGAAATGTGTACATGTCGCAAGACATAAACGAGGGCCTCAGCACGACGAGGGTGACGAAACCTAGTCTCATGCGTTTCACCTTTTTGGAACACATATTCTGACATTCAATCGTACATCTTCTCGCATCATCCTGTATTTCTAAAAAAGTTTTATATTAATTTTAGAACATTACAACACTCTATGTCTATCTACTGGCCAATGTGACACTACCTCTTGTGGTTACCGAGTCATGTTGTAATGTTGGCATATCAGGTGACTCAAACGCTGATGATGCAGGTGAAACAGCCATAGCCAAACCGCCATTATCACCAGGGGCGGATCCAGGGGATGGGGGTAGGGTTTCAATGGGTTCGAACCCCCCTCTTTTGAAAACAATTAAAGACCATATTGCAGTTAATGTTTTGCCTTGGGGGAGCCAGGGGGGGTCTAACACCCCCAAAAACAAAATAATAAAATTAAAAAAAAAAAAATAAATAAAATAAAAAACATATATAAATACATGTAAATATAAATATTCCTGGATCCGCCTATATGATGACTGCTTATCCCGGATTATGATTTCAAACCCAACACGAAGAGTTGGGGTCTCATGCGGACAATGTGGAGCATGCAGGATGGAATCAAGAAAATTCACGACTATCTACAAAACATAAAGATCAACAACAACTCATAAAGATCAACAACATAACATACCCAGCTGTGGACTAAGTGTAGCTGTTGTCGCTAAAGGTTCAGCATCATGTATATTTTGCTTTATGTAAGGGTTTAATATTATCAAGCAGTAAATATGCACGATCTGTGAACCCCTGTGAAATGGAATCACATTTTAAAACTAAAATATTCAGTTCGTATAACATTTAAGTTTGAAACCAAAATATAACCAAGAAATGTGCATTAACTAACATTTCTCAAATGAACTAAGTTCACAAATCAATTCAAATGAGTACAAAAGTATCACTATAGCAGTATAAAATAGTTTCAAATTCAGAGGTAATATAACACAAGAGCAGTGATTATTCATTAATCCAGCTTAGAAGACAGGGCTAGGTAGGAAGGGTTCAAAGCGTACAGAGTGAACAGAGTTGAAGTATTGTAAAATTATTGTCCTCCTGTGGGGGGGTACGTAAGTCCCAAAACATTCAAGGTAAATTTATACTTACCAGTTTTTCAAACATAGCATTTTCGTAATTTTAAATTATGGCTAAATTTGACTACAATCGCTAATGGAATGTGTAAATCCTGCTAGGGTCCGTGTAGGTAGTAAAGGCACTATCCCCATTGTCCCTAGCATGGTGATCTACCTTCAGTTGCTGGCGATCTATAGCCCATATTTACGTTGTATTGTCCAAAATAGTTTTCTACTTTTAAAGATATATGCTAGCTAGTTTCAACTCATTTTGTGATAATCTAGTAATTTTACTGTCCTTTGTTGACAGGGTTTTATATATTATATGTCTGTATTATGATTTTAGAACTAGTTTTAGTCACGATATGGCTGAAATATTGCCAAAGTGACTTTAAATCTTAACTCACTCACTCACTCATGCCCAATCCTTGAGTATAGAGTGATCTTGTGGCTTGAGGGCAGTGTGAGATAAGAGACAATAGCTAGCTCCCCTTATATACCTCTCTCAGAGCAGATAATTATGGAATAAAGTCTTTGTAGCCCTTTCCGGATCATTCTATAAAATTCTGTGGGTAAGAACACAGTGGAAGCCTCTTGAACCCTGTCTAAATATAGCACATGACTGTCCATTATTGAATCTACAAGCAAAGCTTGAAATACTGTTGCACAAGGTATAACATTGCCTCATAACAATATAATTCCTTTAATTGTTGTTTGCGTTTATCGCCCGTGTTTTAATTTGTAAAATACAATTGTTATCGCCGTGTTTTAAGTAGTAATCTTGCAATGATAAAATGTGTTCATGTATATTACAAAACGCTTTTGAGTGTGAAATTTTGTATATACTATTTTAATGTCCCTTGTTTATGTGTGAACTTGGTCCCACTATTATATAGCTCACTCAACCAATTCATTTCTTGGAACTAACCGTGACATTTCTCATTGGCAATTTGATTGTTCACGGAGCCATTGCTCTCGCAAATTGCATAAACCCAGGCTGTCCCTGTCTGAGGTAATTTGTTCAACTTATCCTAACAATAAAAAACCAGGTATTTTTTAATTAGAACTGTGAGTGAACATTTTTTTTAAAAACGTTATTTTTGTGGAAGTTAGTTTCAGGTGTTCCACCGTTATTATTTCAGACCTACCAATCAACGACTGTGGTGAGCCTCCGCCGAGTGCCAATACTTACAGGACATTCCCTGACAACAACACTGTGGAATATCGGTGTATAGACACCTACCTTCTATCATCAGGCGACCTTGTCCGGAACTGTGTCAATGGAAAGTACACCGGGGTCACACCCCTGTGCATCTGTAGGTTCTCCTCTGGTCTCTTTTGTTTAGATCGAAGTAATTTTACAAATTCATTTTATACAACGTAACTAGGTCTTTGGCGATTTCATAAAAAACCATCAAATGCATCCCCACGGAAAGCGCATGTATATGCCCCCTACACACATCAGAGATATGGACAAAAGCTTTTGATACTTGTGAGACCTTTAAAATACGATATATTTATTGACGTGTGCTCAATTGTCCGGTTTTCGATCATGTCACCGTATTTCTGTGATGGACCTTTACATATTACATAGTACGGGGTGTGGATACTAAACCGGGGCCTGGTTTATCGATTTCTGACCCGCTGTGGGGGGCCTATGCTTTGGACAGTACATAGACCATCCCCTAACGTAATGTTAGGCTGTAAACCATAGAATGGATTCTACAACCAATACCCGTCACTAAACAGGATCATACACAAATGCAGCAGCTTAAATCAAACATTACCCCAGGGTGAGACACAAACCAGTGATATATCATTACTGTTTATTGTCAAAAGACAAACACCAAAACGAGAGAAAGATGGCGGCCTGAAACTGCGCAAGTGTTAATGGACGGACAACTAATTACATCTAAATATGCCTCTGTTGGCATTAAACTAAATCCGTGAAACTGAACCTAAAGCAAAACATTAAAATAAGAAGCAATGCCACAATTAAACAAAAGATATGAAAATCTAACTTTTGGCTTATAACTATTCGTACAATAACCGAAAACATTCATTATTCAGTGAACTGCGGCCCTCCGTTGAATAGCACTTACGCCAGTTTTGACATCACGGGAACTTACGAAGGCGACAACGTGACGTACAATTGTGTCCAGGGTTCGTTTGGATCCTCCACAGTCACCGAGTGCAGCGCTACCAGAGGATACTGGGAAGAAGGGAGCAGCTGCGCTGGTATGTATTACAGAATTCACTACATCACGCAGACTTCTACATCGGATGCATTGAGACAGTTGATAAGGGTTAATCCAGTGACTGAACCTAAAGATAAGCTGTGGTGAATATCTCCAGAAAGGTCACAACAATAAATGAGTATACTGTTCAGATATGGCAATGTGGTAATCAATTGCTGTCAAGAATGCCCTTCACCGATGGTAACTGATGAGTTATCGAGATAAACCTACTATCTTCAATCTTCAAGATTCTTTGCGTCAATACTTCCAACTGAGCTTCAGGAACTATATTAGTGTTGCACAGTCTCATTTGATAAATGCCTTACAGAAAAATATGATAATCCCACTCCAGTCTGTAACCACCTGAAGTTCCAAGAAGACGTTTTTCGGGATATTATTATACTTGCAGAGTTAGGAATGTCACTAACAAATAGTCAGTTACACAACATTGTCGGTTGCATAAATCAATCAGTACTATAATATAATGGAAAAAATAAGTTAAGGATATTTGTATTTTTATGATTGATATTTTATCAGTGTGTCAATGAATAAATAGATCATTATTCATAATTTCAAAATTTACATATATCCCTAACTATTTTTGTCCAGTATAAATCTTTATTCTTAAGTCATACTGATGATTTTGAAAATCTTACCGGAAGTCTGGAAGTGAACCTCTTCCTGTCTCATGTCATTTCCAATCAATGCAATTCAACGAACTGTAGGACATGAATATTGTTACATATTAATATGCATCTATTTCTTTGTGGACCATTTGTTATTACGGGGTTCCACAAGAAAATTCACGGTTAACCAGAGAAAACCAAAACATGCCCAACAAAACCAAAATATGATGTAACATATGTTATATTTGCGATTACGTTTTCTCAATGCAGATGGAGCCATTGCGTCTTTCACTGAAATGAACGTCTGATGTTACGTAGTCAAGATCATATAGTTTGTGTACCCCACAAGCATAAATAAGCACTGCTCCCATGACTGGAGCTTCGTGTGTAAATGCGTTAGGCCTTTTAGAAAGTAGCGATTAAACCTGTAAGATGTAAGTGATATTTTTGTGGAAGGCGCGGTGGCTGACTGGAATAGCTCGCTGACTTTTTGTACTGACGACTAATTGCCTCTCTCTGCTCTGAGAGTGTGGTCCATTCCCGGATTTGACTTCCGCTACCCCTTAAAATACCAGAATATGTTCTTTAGTGGGAAAGTGTGATTGACGTATGTTACATTTGTCCCCAATCTAAAATGCAATGTATTCCCCAATAATATTTGTGATTTGACATGCTGGATATTCGACAGAGAATGTAAAAGGTAACAGATGATCAGCCGGCTCGTACACAGAATATCACAAGGCCATTGGAGCTATGTTTTCCTTAACCAATCAACCATTTCTCTATCAAGCCAGTCTAGATGCTGCATCGTTCACTGCGAAACAGACGACTACCGCGACTGCAGACGACATCCTCAGGAACATAACGTCATCCGTCTCAATACCAGCCAGCGCCACATTTATAGCTCCTAACGCCGTGGACCCAACAAAGCAGGGATTGAGTCTTCTCACCGGCGGCTGCAGCAGTACCAAATATGAGGAACGTCCTCGAATGAGCATCTACCTCGGTGACTACTACACCATATATCAAGTAGCTGTGACCCTACCGAATGATGACTTTGGTGAGGCAATAGTCACGTACACTGAGTAATTTAGACACCATGTTCTTTAGTACTGACTTGTTCCTTAGTACTTCCGTCCGTCCGTCTGTCAGTCTGTTTGCTTCTTAATGGGGATTACTTTTTTTTATCAAATAATGTTTGACTTCGCGAGAACACATTCTATATTCCGATTCTGGTGGTCATCTGACGAGTTCGACAATTGGTGTCTTGTGCTTACTTCATGCTGTTCAAGGTAGTTGAAATATATAGATTGAAATTTGGAAAAGGCTTCTCAAAAACACCTTTAAGTAAGAGAACTGAATGTTTACACACCGATCTTACGGGTAGCGATCTGAAATGGGTTCGAAAATTGGATCTCCACTTGTTGAATGTGCCTTATTTCATGATTTTAATAAGGCAGGAATTTAAACATAATGCCTACTGTGTGATATTGGGACAGAAGGCTTGAACTTACATGAGTGAAAGTTTGAATGCTTATCTGAGATGCTACTCAAGACTAAGTTCGAAAATTGCTGCAATAAATTATTTTTTACACAGAACTTGCTTGTGCCTGCAATGGGCACAGGTTTTCTCAGAAACTATTAAAATGTCATAAACGAAACTTTGTAAGCTTACCTGAGAGATACTACTCAAAACTGAGTTCAAAAATTATAGTGCCATAATTAGTTTCCAGAGTTACTTCCCTTGTTTCATGTTTTTAGGTTCTTTTCGGATTTTTAGTATTATATGAGTGAATATAAAGTTATTTCTTACTACAACCTAATCATAATTTTAAAATGACTATCCTTATTAAGATTTTGTCCATTTTGGCACATCACTACAGTAGATGTGTATGCATATATATGCTTATATGTGCACTAATCAGGATCAGGCTAGCTATTCTCGAAACGTTCGTAGCCCCACGAACTTCTTAAGCCCATTCTTAACACGTTGGCTACGATCAAAGTAAGAATTCTTAGGGCTCCGAACGTTTTGAGAATAAGGGCCCAGGGCCTCGTTCCTTAAAGCGATCGTAGTGCTACGACTGTCGTAAGTCTATGTTAAAGTATGGGAGTTACGATCACCTTAGCTCTACGACTGTCGTAAGTCTATGTTAAAGTATGGGAGTTACGATCATCTTAGTGCTACGACTGTCGTAAGTCTATGTTAAAGTATGGGAGTTACGATCACCTAAGTGCTACGACTGTCGTAAGTCTATGTTAAAGTATGGGAGTTACGATCACCTTAGCGCTACGACTGTCGTAAGTCTATGTTAAAGTATGGGAGTTACGATCGTCTTAAGGTTACGATTGCTTTAGGGAACGGGGCCCTGTACAAGTGTTGTTTATATTGGCAATGTGAGTTATTGCATCAATAAGAGGGATATGTTTTATGAGTAAAACACATTATGGTTCCATAATGACACGAACAGGGATGTTGATCTTATATTTACAAATGCTCCTATGGTGGTTAGAATTGGTCCCAGGCATCCAATGCTTGTCGCAAATGACGCCCTTATTAATCATCTCTCAAGACTCTGTGACTTGGTAGATACCCATATTTGGACGTTTTTCTCTCGACTACAATTTGTATTACGTTTTCCACTAATGCTATAGACCCGTGAAGATTCGGGTTAGAATTGGTCTTCAGTAACTCATGCTTGTCGTAAGAGGCGCCTAAACGGGATCAGGTGGTCAGGCTCGCTGACTTGGTTGACACATGTGATTGTATCCCACTTGCATGGTGCTTTTGCTGTTGATCGCTGGATTGTCTGGTCCAGACCCGATTATTTACAATCCGCCGCCTTATAGCTGGAATATTGCTGAATGCGGCGTAAAACAACAAACAAACTAACCAACCAACCAATAATGCTATGATTAATAAGAAACACGTACAGAATGCATTCAACGTTTCAACATGATGTTTTTATTCATGTATGCGCTTAAACATAAAACTGCAAATCATGGAGCATCCAGGCCCAGTTAAAGCTTGTTTTTAAAGGTCAATCGAATACGCCCTATATTGTTTTACATCCAAACATGCAAAGTTTTACATCCTACTGTGTAACATTACGTTTGATGCTGATATTTCAGTCTCTTCCATACCAAATCTGAGAGTGTCGAGTTCCAGCAATAGCTTCTTTGAAAAGTACACCTCGACCTGTTTGAGTCACAGAGACTCCATACCCGCAGGGTCAAGGTTCTTGGCAAACTGTTCACGATCACGGTACCCATATGGTGGAAGGTATATTCATCTTGAAGTAGACTTTGGAGACGAACATGGCATGTTACAGATCTGCAAGGTTGAAGTGTATGCCCATCCACGTACATTAGGTATGTTGTTCTATTACTACCAACGCCTCAGAAGAATTTGTTGTGGTTTAGATAAAGTGTCGTGTCCTGGAGACAGGATCATATGATTTTGGGTTCTAATTCTGGATGCTCACTTAAGGCTGTGCTTGATTTGTCAGTACTAAACCCGCGATTGCAAGTGACACAATTAGTTTTGTGCACCTCTGATGGTGTCAGCTGATATTCTGTGCGATCTTATCGTATTTTAAAACATATAAAATTATATCTTAATGTACAATACGCTTTTCGCATCATTTCATGCATCTGTTGATATTAAGTCATGGGCTAAAGAAAGTATAGGACTGGAAAAAAATATTTTCACTGTCATTGACCTGGTTATGAGAATTAGACATGCTGGCAATGTTGGCCCCACTACTGGGAAGGGAAATACACCGCCAAAACGCAACACGTTCGAACGGTGAGAGTGATGACGTCACAAATGTGGAAAGCATGTCCCATGCCAAACGTGCAAAGTTTCGGTATAAATGCGATGCATCGGTCCCGTCATATCACAGCTGCTGAAAACACATGAAAAGTATGCCACGACTGACGCCAGAACAGAGAGAGAGGGCCATAGGGATGTCCGACATGGGAGCGACAAACGTCAGAATTGCAAGAAGATTTGGTTGTACGCCACTGACGATAGCAAGACTCCTCCAACGATTCAGACAGACAGGTCGAACACAGGACTGGCCGAGGAGTGTACGTCCACGTGTAACCAGCGCACGTGAAAATCACCATATACGCCTGATACACCTCCGAAATCGATTTGTTACGGCAACGTCAACGGCCGAAACAGCGTTGGGACGTCGCATCAGTCGAAGGACTGTCCTCAGACGCTTGAGAGCAGGTGGGATACGTTGCTATCGACCATTCCGTGGAATGAGACTAACACAACAACATCGACTTGAAAGACTGCAGTGGGCAAGACGAGTATAGCGCTGGCAAGTGCGTGACTGCGCAGGGTCCTCTTCACTGATGAAAGTCGGTTTTGTCTGCACAGAAATGACGGCCGACAGAGAATTTACAGGCGATGGCGTGAACGTTTTGCAGCAGCATGCATTCAAGAAGTCCATGCCTATGGTGGAGGTGGTGTGATGGTATGGGGTGGCATTATTGGCGACCAAACGACACCCTTGGTCGTTATGCAGGGGAATCTCAAAGCTAACGAGTACCGAAATAAATCTTGCAGCCTGTTGTCTTACCTTTCTTGAACAATCAACCAGCAACTCACCATAAAGCAATAGCGACGAGAAACTTTCTTAATCAGAATAACGTTAATGTTCTACCCTGGCCTTCTCGATCACCAGATATGAATCCGATCGAGCATTTGTGGGATCATTAGGGAAGACAAATTTGTGGTCGTCATCACCCTCCACAGACAAGACAAGAGTTGGAAGTGGCACCGAGGGACGAATGGCAGCGACTGCCAAATGACGTCATCCGACGTTTGACGTCATCGATGCGACGACATGCACGAGCGTGCATCGAGGCTGCTGGCGGACACACACGCTACTGACGTTGTTATCGTTCTGGAACAAACTTTTCTGTCTTTTGTGTGCGCAATTTGTCAAAGGAATATCATTGTAACTTTGGTATTTACTCCCTGACTGTTTGAATGTCAATGTCACCTTTCAGTTCTTTCAACCAGGTAATGATTTGTACACACAGCAAAGTGCAAATGAATTTGCTACAAATTACATCTATTACATAATTCAAATCTTGTGTTGTTTCTGTTTTACTGATCTTCAAAATGACCTATACTTTCTTTTGCCCATGAGTTTACATCTCTCAGTCGACAATACCTTCCTCGCTTTATGTCATATAGTGTATATGCTGACACCGTTATCAAACAATTGATGTAATTGTCACGTCAATATGAGGACGGGTAACTTCGGATAACGAATAATATCTTTGAGTGGCATTTAGAAGCTTGTATGATGGTTAATAAATGTTGAAGAAATCAAATTTTCCTCTTTTTCTCGCCATACATCCAGCTGAACCTGGGTCCTTATTCTTGAAACGTTCGAAGCCCTACGAACTTCTTAAGCCCATTCGTAACACATTGGCTACGATCAAAAGAATAGTCTTAGGGCTACGAACGTTTCGAGAATAAGGGTCCCGGATCAGCTGATTGACGGCAGACGATGCATGGGATGCACGTAGCACTTGAAAACACAACCGCAAAGAAATATTTAACATTTAGCCCGTCTCACATTTCAGTTGATTGTGGTCAGCCACCTGAACGCCCGTTCGCCGTGGTAACCAGCCCGCCGTCAAATACGTACTACCAAAATAATAAGCATGAGGTGACATACGAATGCATAGATGGTTACACGGTCAAGTATGGTCACGGGAGAGGCTATTGTTCAATATATGGCACTTGGTCAGTGTCTTTTTCTTGTACAGGTAATTGAAAGTCAGTACTGTCTGTCAGTCACGTTTGAAATTCTATGATATGCTCACATTTTCGATATGAACCCATTTTCAATGTGCCTAAAGGTTGTCAGCGATCGTAGTGAAATTCTATCATATGCTCACATTTTTTGTACCCATTCCTCCAGATGTTATAGTGGTTCTCCAGATGTTATAGGGATTATGCAATGAAATAGTTCTAATGGTTATGGATTTCTTTTGCTTTTTAACAAATGAAGATGACTCAGAATCTTGGTCAAACATCACCCAGGTGCTGTGACCTGGTTCCTTCTTTGATTAATGGTATCCTGGTACTATTGGCATCCTGACGACGTAATATTAATCTCCTGGTTGTTAGGCTTAGACTCAATTATCAACAGGTCACGCCACATAAACAGTAATATTGCTGAGCTTACACGCACACATTCGTGATGTTTTTGCACCTGCACAATGCAACGGTATCGATATGTGGATTTAATGATAAACTCAATTTAGATGTAAATCACTCGTTTCTTCGCTTATAGACACATCAATGATTATTTTGTCAATGTTCATTCATTGTCGAGCTGTCGAGCGTGGTCCTGTGAGATATTGTTCCACCCTTTTAGCCGGACGGAATGTGTTTTGGTTCACATTTGAGAGGATATCAACGTTTTTCGTTACCTTTATAGCCGAAGAGAACCGCGCGCATAACAAATCTGTCTCTCTGTCTGACAACGGCGCCAAAGACGTCTCCCCGTTGACAGACGGCAACATGACTTCCTGTTCCAGCATACAGGATGTTAAAGGGGCTACGTTTGTCATTGATCTGGGCAAAGATACGGAGGTGACAGATGTCTCCATCACAACTATTGGTGAGCAAACATACTGACTTGGAGAAGATTGTCATCATGGTGCATTACACTTCACCTGCAAGTTGCAGTTTGGGATATGAAGCGGGATTAAAATTTGATGTACTTTTGGTAATATCAGGGATACTCTACGACAGGGATAGGTCACTCGCTTGCTTTCTTTACCATTTGTACTAATTAGCGTGTGCCTCGTCATGCTCCAACGCACAGAGTGACTTGGTTCGTTCCCAGCGCAACTTCGGCTGCGTTTACCAGTACTTCAACCAGTGTATTGTATCAGTCGGAAGTAGAAAAACATTTGTTAACATCAGCTGTCCTTTTTAAAAAAAAATCTACTTTGAGACATTTTTTTACATTAGTAACTAATTCAGATATCTTATTGCATGTGTGGAATTGCATGGGCATTAACAGAATGTTAACTGCCACTGTCACAGACCCCTCAAAAACAGAAAGTTTAGAACTATCACAAATCGTTGTAAACACCTTTCCAGTTTTATCAAATACTAGGCACCCATGAAGGGCCACCTCCTCGTGGTGGGTGCTGGGTAACGCTAAGCGCCCTTCAAACCCCCGTTGTGGACCCGGGGGGACATTAGGTCCACCAACCTGTTTGCCGTGGGTTGCGCCCCTGTGTCGGTGGAGGACGGGATTCTGGTGGTTGAGGGCAAGGGCTCCAGGAACAGTGTTCCTTTGCCCAATACACCACTTCGACCCTTATTTCACCTAGACGGGTGGTAGAATGGGCCCGGTTCTACCAATCGGCTGGTCACGCCGAGCCCTGTGCATGGTTCATCTTTTTGCACAAACTTTATTATTTTGGTCTTGGCTATTTTGCATTATTATGTACAAATTATTAATAGATTAATATGCCTAGAGTCCTATGCCAGAAGGCGGTGGCTCATGGGCCAATCTGGCAATATAAACCGCTGAATTCTGTGTTTCTCCAGAATGATGTCATGGGCGAACCAGCCGGACATTTTTTCTTTCAGATTCTACAGCTATTTATGTTTTTATTTGCTGGAGTATAACATCCCTGTAGCCCTGGTGGAACAGCCTGGCTTCCGCTGTAACACCGTCCTTGTTGACACTCCATGGCGGGTGGGGAGCAGGGATGTTGAACACTTTTCCTACACCATGGCTTTTTCCATTCAATCTGGTTCATCAAAACACAAACGTAGACATGTAGTATCTACATCATCAGATGAAGGATCTCCTGATTCAGTTGACTCTTGGCCAAGATTCATTGTGCTTTCATCTATAGATGACAATCCTTTGAAACTGAACCCATTCGCTATTTCCAAGGGCATTCAAGGTGTCTGTGGGGAGGTGAAGGGCGTGACACGTCTCCGAACGGATCATTGTTAGTGGAATGTCTGCGGAAGCAACAATCGGATAATCTGTTACTATTAAACCAGTTCGTCAATACACCCGTTGTTGTCTCGGTACATAGAACTTTAAACTCTTGCCGAGGTATAGTCAGAGACAGGGCTCATTGTCTTTCTGATATGAGTGAGGAGGACATTGCAGCTGAGCTGAAAATCAAGGGGTGATCGCTGTAAAGCGATTTACCAAGAAGAGAGATGATGGCAGTATTACTAAACTTTACTACTTATCTGTTTACATTTGCACTTTCGACTCTTCCGAAGTGTATAAAGCCGGATACTTTAACATTGGGGTGGAGGTATATGTACCAACTCCACTCCGATGTTTTAAATGTCAAAAGTTTGGCCATGGGTCCAAGTTCTGCCGGAACAACACGGTCTGTTCCCGCTGTGGAGGCGCTCATGAGTCTTCTGAATGCACCTTCAATAACATCAAATGTGCGAACTGCGACGGAGACCACCTGGCCTCATCAAAATCCTGCCCATTATATGATCGTGAAACAAGAATTCAAAAATCAAACACACGAACAATATTTCCTATGTTGAAGCGGAAAAGCTTGTTCCTCTCTCAACTGCTTCCAACTATATTGTGCACTCAGATGCAGTGTCCTCTCGTACCACTGCCTCCAGACCTTCCCTGACTTCAACAGCCTGTCAAACATCCCTATCTTGGGTTCATGAAAAAATCATTATCGATGATCAGATCACTCCATCTCCGTCAAATATATCTTCTTCAGTTTCCCAGACAGAACGTGTAGCATCACAACTTTCAATGGATCATTCATCTAAACCAGTATCTGTGCCGGAATCAACACCTGCACAATCAAACATATCAAAAATTGGAAGAAAAGAGAAAAAGCAATCAAAAAATAAGACCAGAACTCTCCAGCATTTGGAGGTGCCTTCCTCTCAGACACCTTCCGTAAAGGTTCAAAATCAGTTTGAACCTTTGGAGATAGAGGTCGATTCTTCGCTCCCTAGCCATGGGAGGAAACCCCACTCCAATGTACGACCTCTCATTGAGCCTCCATGAACTGCTCAAATAATATTGTTCAGTGGAATTGTAGAGGACTAAGGAACAATTATAATGATTTACAGTTACTGATTCAAGATTTCAAACCATCGGCATTTTGTTTACAGGAAACCTATCTTAAAAATACAGATCAATTTGATGTAAGACAATATAATTCATATAACTACTTTTTTTCTCCTCCAGGGCCTAGAGCTACTGGGGTTCTTCCGTTTTGGTTAGACAGGGTGTTATACATAGCCCTGTTCCCCTAACTACATGTCTTCAAGCTGTTGCTGTCAGACTGACTCTAAACATCGTTTTCACATTATGCTCACTGTATGTACCACCATCTTCTTCTCTTCAGCAGACTGATCTTCAGACTCTCTATGACCAGCTCCCCAAGCCATGTGTCATCATGGGTGATTTAAACGGTCATAATCCACTTTGGGGTAGTTCTGATACAAACAGAAATGGGAACATATTGGAAGATTTTATTTCTAACAACGATCTGTGTATTTTCAATGATAATTCGAAAAATATACTTACATCCTGGTACAGGTACGTACTCTTGTCTAGATTTATCTCTTACTGATTCTGGTCTGCTTAATGAATTTGAATGGTCTGTCCACAGTGATTTGTGTGGCAGTGATCATTTCCCGACCATTCTTAAAACAATCACTCCTGCTGATGTTGCTCCATCATCAAGATGGAACTTCAACAAAGCAAACTGGCCTTTGTTTGAATTACTCTGTATTGACAAACTAACTCCCTGCTCGTTTTATTGATGCTCTTGATTCAGTACAATTATTCTCTCTGATGAACTACACAAAATAGCCGATGAGTGTATTCCTAGGTCCTCTACAAATCCACATATACGTAAACCATGGTTTAATAATGACTGCAAACAAGCTAGAAAGGCACGGAAAAAAGCTGAACACTATTTCCGTCGCCACCCAATGGTGCATAATTTAGATAAATTTAAAATTTTAAACGCTAAAGCACGTCGAACATTTAAGCAAAATAAGCGCCAATCTTGGCAAAATTATGTTTCGAAAATAAATTCACGGACGCCGGTGTCCAAGGTATGGAACATGATCCAGAGAATTAAAGGTAAAGGGTACCAAATCAAGCATTAATCATCTCAAAACTGGGGACCAATTGTTAACAGATACATCTGATATCGCAAATAAACTGGGTGAAACACTTGCAAAGCATTCTTCCTCGTCAAACTATGTTCCTAAATTTCAAAATACAAACAATTGCAAGAAAAGAAACAAATCAATTTTCATTCAGATAATGGGGAAGACTATAATTTAAAATCTTTCTATCCACGAGCTTCATACGGCTCTTGACCAAGCCCACAATACTGCAACAGGAGCTGATAACATTCATTATCAACTCCTGAAACACTTACCTGAATCCTGTTTAGAAACACTATTAAATATTTTTGATGACATTTGGACATCTCGTCAATTTCCTTCATCTTGGCGTGATGCCATTGTTGCACCCATACCTAAACCTGGACGTGATCATACAGATCCCTCAAATTATAGGCCCATTTCCTTGACTAGTTGCGTTTGCAAAACCATGGAGCGCATGGTCAATAACAGATTAACTTGGTACTTTTAGAGTCCAATAATTTAATCACAAATATCCAATGTGGTTTCTCGTAAAAAATCGCAGTACCATTGACCATTTAGTGCGATTGAGTCATTCGTTAAGAATGCCATTCTTAACAAGCAGCATGCAGTGTCAATATTTTTCGATTTAGAGAAAGCCTATGACACGACATGGAAGCATGGCATTTTACAAGATTTACATGATTTTGGTTTACGAGGCCGTTTGCCTCAGTTTATATCCGAATTTTTAACTGATAGGCAATTTCAAGTCCGCGTGGGTTCTACCTGTCTGACCATTATAACCAGGATCAGGGTGTCCCACAAGGTAGTATTTTGTCTGTCACATTGTTTAGTGTTAAGATCAACAGTTTATCCAAGGTCTTAAGTGATTCAATCGATGGGTCACTTTTTGTGGATGATTTTAATATTTCTTGTCGCGGTAAAAGTATGCATACTATTGAACGGCAACTGCAGTTGTGTTTAAACAAAATAGATAAATGGTGTCTTGAAAACGGTTTTAAATTTTCTAAATCCAAAACCAATTGTATCCATTTTTGTAGAAAATATAAACCGCATAAAGACCCTGAACTATCTCTAAATGGCTCTCCCATCAAAGTCGTTAAAGGAAGCCAAGTTCTTGGGTTTAATTTTTGACTCGCATCTAACTTTTTCTTCCCCATATCAAGTCCCTAAAAACTAAATGCTTGAAGGCACTTGACTTGTTGAAAGTCGTTTCGAATTCTAAGTGGGGAGGGGATCAAGCTACACTCCTACAATTATATCGATCATTGGTACGTTCCAAAATTGATTATGGCTCCATCGTGTATGGTGGAGCCTGCAACAATAATCTAAAACTTTTAGATTCTGTCCACCACCAAGGTCTAAGACTATGTCTTGGTTCCTTTAGAACTTCACCTGTTGACAGCCTCTACGTCGAGGCTGATGAGCCATCTCTTACACAACGCCGTATAAAATTAACTTTACAGTATATTACAAAACTTTATTCAAATGAGTCAAACCCTGCATATAACTGTGTCTTTAATCCACTATATGAAGATCTGTGTATAACAAGAAGCCTTCTCTTGTTCCGCCTCTTGGTATAAGAGTGAAACCTTTCCTTTCTGCTGCTGGCATTGAGCTAGAACATATAGCTCCTTCCCGTCTTCTTTCTTCTCCTCCCTGGCAATTGGTTAGGCCACAAGTCGACCTAACACTCACTCAATTTAAAAAATCCGAAACTAATGACTTGCAATATAAACAAGAATATAATCAATTCAAAAGTAAATATAATACATATAAATCCTTATTTACAGATGGGTCCAAGGATGGTGGCGCGGTGGCATGTGCCACTGTCATTGGATCCAGAACAATCTCTTCTCGTTTACCAGATAACAGCTCTATTTTTACAGCAGAAGCAAACGCCATATTAACAGCCTTAAAATATATTAAAAAACACCCTAAATATCAACAATATATCATCTTTTCTGACTCACTTTCTTGCCTTCAGGCTATTAAAAATATTTCTTGTAAACATCCACTTTTATTAGAAATTATTGAATTGTATAATGAGCTTGCAACTGGCCAATGCGACATCGTCTTTTGTTGGTTACCCAGCCATGTTGGCATTTCTGGGAATACAATGGCCGATCTTGCTGCTAAGAGCAGCACTCAACAAATCTGTGACACCACTTCTTATTCCTTACTCTGATTACAAAGCCAGCATTAGAGCATACATCCGCGATCTAATGCAGAAGAAGTGGGACACCCAAGTAGGTATTAATAAATTACATGCAATAAAACCCTACATTGGTTACACTCACTTGGGTTGTCAGTCCAGATTTGAAGAGGTCATTATGCGGCGATGTCGCATTGGCCATACTAGATATACCCATGAATATTTGCTTAAAGGCGAAGATCCTCCGTTTTGCATCCCCTTGTGATGAAAGAATCACAGTCAAGCATGTCTTGCTTGACTGCATTGAATATTCCATCACAAGGGATGTCTATTTCAAATCAAAACTCTGAAGGATCTTTTTAATAATGTCAGTTCTCATTTAATTATTGCATTTTTTAAAAAAAATTAGATTTGTTGACTGATTTGTAAATATATATATATTTTAGTATTGGTAGTTTAAATTAGTAACTGATATTGTTAGTGGCTGTACCCTCAAAGGGGTTAGAAGTAAGCGTAAAATTATTGTCCTCCTGAGAGGGTACGTAAGTCCCAAAACATTTAGTCAATTTAAGTGTACCAGGTTTTAATCGTAGAATATGTGTACTTTTAATTTATGGCTAGGTTTTCTCTTCTGTCGCCAATGGCTGAAGGGATGGTGTAAATCCAGCTAGGGTCCATGCAGGAAGCAAATGTACTGTAAGTCCCCATGGTCCCTAGTATGGTGATCTACCTTCAGTTGTTGGCGATCAATAGCCTGTTTTTTATATTGTATCGTCTTGTATAGTTCAAATGTTTTAGATTATTGTTACTAGTTTTATATCTATATCTGTGATAATCTAGTTATTTTACTGTCCTTCGTCGGCAGAATTTTATAATTTCACTTAAATTGTCGATATATTTATAACTTGCTTTAGTCACGATATGGCTGAAATATTGCCAATGTGACTTAAAATCTTAACTCACTCACTCACTCACTATCAAATACTAAGACCAACAAGAAAGAAAGAAGTTTTAGAACTGTAACACTCAAGCATCACAAGCATCAATGGCGTTTCAGAACAGATCGGCGATATGTCATATTTTCACACACCTCAAATACACCCTAACAATTTTTTTAAAATTATGAAACTATCACTATTACTTGCAAACACCTTTCACCTGATGGTATATTTCCCTTCTAAAAATTAAACGAATATGTGAAAGAAGTTTTTAGCGATAGAATTTAGTCTTTCTTCGCTGTGTACTGAGAATTGAAGCCAGTGAGCTACAACATGCCGACTTGAAACTTTACTACAAATCTACTGTACTAATACTGACACTAATAACAATTATTTGACTTAAAATGAAGTGACAGAATAGGTAATTTATCTTCTACATGTAGGTTTTCAATTGTCACAACACTCAGCGTGTGTAATCAGGTGTTGAAAATAAACCGGGCTCAATCTTAAAAACTACGCTTCCGTCATATTGGCTACACTGGTCACGTGACGAGCCGAGGCATACGCTAAGGGGCTTTCCGGGGAGTGACCACTCCCCCTTATATAGTCTCCCTGGTAATATGTTGTTCATTATCCATACATTAAAAACCGCAGATTGGAACGCTTGACGACATTATATTTTAATGCTTTGATTCTGAGCGTCACGCGTTCGACAAAGGAGCTGGAATCGCGGAGATGAAACATATAAACGGGATCTCTGTTACCAAGATGACGAGTATGCGTTTTCCATATGTGAATCACTGGGTACATTGAAATTAATCAACTTCCATCTTCCCCCGCTTATTAAAGAGCACGTATTGTACGTTTTATACGTGTAAAGTATCCATCAGGGGGCATTATGAAATATATTTTTCAAGAATACGAACTTTATTCCCAATAATGTGGTGTACTATTTACTGTTAGCACTGTGAGCATACCTAGTGTGGAATTTGGCGCTATATAAATGGACAAATTATTATTATTATTATTAACTTTGTATGGATGCACAAAATACCATCTTTTATTTTCCAGATGTATCAGCACTTAGGACCCTCCGCATCGAAATATCTGTGTGGCGTGATGGCTACCGTGTTCAGCTCTGTAGCGCGAACAGTAATTCGCTTTATGGTTACTATACGTACGCGTACCAGTTCACGATATGGATCGGGTGCTATCCCGCTCCTGTAGGCAGACACGTCAGCATTTACTTCTACTACGACAACATTGCCACGCTAAACGTTTGTGAGATCATGGTCTATGGGAGACCGTACACCGAAGGTATGTGTGTCTACCTACCTACCTCCGTTCTCCCTCCCTCCCTCCCTACCTACATACCTATATACCTACCTACCTACCCACCTACCTCATTGTTAACTCTCATGATGATGACGAATTGGACATTGTACGTGCGCTTTGCGACATTTGCGTATTTCCCACACGGATAAAGCCTGGTTCCCGGGTTTTGCTGCGCTGCACTACGCTATGCCAAATTGACCCCTGTAAGGTCTGCACAATCGCAGCCCGATTATGTCCCGTGTCATCTTCCTTCGTAACATGGTGGGTTTAATGAAAATGTTGTTTCGATCGCCTAGTGAAATAACTGGGGAAATCTTATAGATCCATATGAATGGTGTTATTGACAGCATTTGTCATTTTGTCACTCTGTTTTATAATACATAATGCGGACATGATTGATCAAGTTCAATCCATTGTTTTTTCACTCTTGGCGTGCTTGTCGACTCTCAGTGAGATAATAATACAGAAAAATATATTCATTATCTTGAGTTACTTTGCCACATGTCATTTGTAATCTGTTTTTTTTCACAGAATGTTGTCACAGTAAGTGTCTCAATCGGTTTGCAAAACAAAATGAAAATGGTTTTGTTTCCGAATTTGTTGACCATTTCACTATTGTGATGTTGATACTAACAGATTAAAAAAATGAATGTACCCCAATCCCCACCCTACCCTTACTCCAGATTTAGCTACAGTTTTTATATTATGACAACAGGAAAATGGACAATTATGAAACATTATTAACTGCTTCTTTACATGTCTTTGACAAACTTTAGCCCCACTGGGGAGTGTGTGTATGTATGTGTGTGTTTCCGACAACACACCCTTTCCTTTCCATGAGCTGGCTCTTTCAGAACATGCTTATTGAATGTCTCAAACAAAGCGGAAATAACAATATACATGTATGTATCATGGCCATGTGTTTAAATTCATGTGTTATATTTTGTTATACTTTAAGATTAATGGCTATTGCATCACCATGATCAACCAAATGAAAAACAGAGGAATAGATTTGAATTTAATATTAAAATTATTTATGACATTACCAAATGAATAAAAGTATATTATTATCCCATTGAACTCTGACATTTTTGGGAAGCACCTCCATTGGTCACAAATACATGATTGAAATCTATTTATGATTAAGTTTATAATGTGGCAACAACACAAACGGCCCTCAGAGTCCACCTTTGAGCTCTTCAATTGTGTGAAAGTTACAACCTCAGACGCTCCCTATTCCTGTGTTGGGAGTTGCGCCCCTCTAACATGGCTAAAAGCTTAAACTGTAGATTAGTATTTCAGATCATATTTCCAGTTTCACTTCCACGCCAGTTTAACACCATTTCAGGAACTTCATGACAGAAAGTGATCATTAGCATCATAAACAACCCATAGCATAATGTCGGAAACCATATGCTCGAAACTGTAAAGTGAAGTGGGTCGGTGAAAGTCACTGAACATAACAGTTTGATCCAAGACATATGATAGTGTCGGTAGAGAGCTTTATGAAACATGGCCCTGGTCTATAATTAATCTAAAAACTGCTGTTTAAATTATTGCAGGGAATTAGATTGTTTTGTTTTCACTCAGCATAATGTGACTACTTAAATCCTGTAGATAATTGAGTCTGGTATACCACAACAATGTTAAGTGAAATTAAGATAGATCAATCGAGAATCAGGCCATCCAAATTTAGTAAGCCAGAGATTAAACTAAGTTTATTTCGGATCTTTCCAGCTCTTGAGTGTGCACGCAACTCTTGGACAGTGAGAGATTATAAAGGACAAACAAACGTGACCGTAACAGGCATCCCTTGTCAAAGATGGGATTCCCAGAGCCCGCATGCTCATGTTCACACGAACATATCATATTTCCCCGATGATAAACTTGAGGACGCTGAGAACTACTGCAGGAACCCTGGCCTAAAATCCAGGCCCTGGTGCTACACCAACGACCCGGCAGTTGAGTGGCAGTATTGCCCCATCAGAGTCTGTGGTGAGTATTTTAATAGTCCATTTCTAACGAACATTACGCCACCTGTGACCTGTAATTCATGCTTTAGGCGCACCGCCCCAGAACTCAGAGATGCTTTTGTGATAGGAAACCAATGTAGGCCAAGAAGTAGGGTAGAAATATGACCAACTACATAACTCTAACGGAAATCTCCCGTCTGTGTTTTGTTCTCGGCTATAAAGTGAGATGCTGCATGACGCTGGGTCAACAAAACCTCACGCTGCAAACGTCTTTGATGCCAGTATTAAGGTCAAGCATTCCTAACCGGAAAACAGAATCTGCCATGTATGCAAGTAGAAAGCTAAATGTAAAGCAAAGTCATGAATCTATCCTGGATTTTACAAATCTTTCTTGAACTTTCAATGGAAAAGCCAGAGGTGTATGTTGATTTCAATAATGCTTGGTACGAACTTCGCATGGACAGGTTCCATTCTATTGTATTCTGTCACTGTATCTGATTTGGGAACCTATTTAAGTTGATAACGCTTACAAGTTCATTTAAAGATCACTGCCACTATTTTTCCTTGGCTATTGTATATGACTGTGATACTGTTACATTGTAAATATTGATGGCACTGCTGACTGCTCTAGCCCCAAGTTAACAATTCGGACATTTAGGTAACTTATCTATACTGACACACATTGAAAACGCAAAACACATTTTAGCAATTTCCAACAAAGTTTTATGTAGCAATTTCATTTATCACACGAAAATATAGGGATGTGAGGTTGCCGAATAAAACCATATGCACATCTTGGTTCAAACCATTTTCGTGTTTCTGGCATTGATACAGTTCATGAAAAACACAACTTTAGCATATTCCTTGGACCTGTTGGGGTGCATGATTATCATGACATGCACATGTAAAGCCAAGTGTTGGACGCACGAAAGGCACTATGGTTTAACCGTTTCACTAGCAGTCACAAAATGCCACGGCTCAAAGAACAGCAGAGGGAACAAGCTATCAGGATGCTGTTGGTGGGACAATGCCCGACCACACACGGCACGCCTTACCAGAGACTTCCTCCACCAAGCAGGTATCCATGTGCTTCCCTGGCCAGAATTTTTTGCCAGATCTGAACCTGATAGAACACCTGTGGGATCAGCTTAGTCACCGAATTCTTCAACGTCAACGTCAGCCAAATAACGTCGCTGGGTTGACCCTGGCTTTACAACAGGAGTGGCAGAACATCCCCCAAGAATCTGTTCGACGTTTGTGCGAATCAATACCACGTCGACTCCGTGAATGTGTACAGGTTCAGGGAGGTCACATTCGCTACTGGCGGACGTGAGGGGGTCTGTGTGTGAAGCTTGACGTGTCAGCCATACTGGCGGAACTCTTGTAATCATGAAATTGAAACACAATGAAATTCTCAACATAATTGTATTACAATTTTGATCCAAATGTTATTGTTTGTAAATTTTTCCTCATTTGAATTTGGTTTTGCGTTTTCAATGTGTGTCAGAATATTAGGTTAGGTCGGCGAAGTGCATTTAATTACATGTTTCTCAAATGCACCTGAACATACAGATATAACGTGTCATCATGTAAACGTAGGTATGAAACACAAGTGAAAGATCATCCTGCGTTCTTACGATGTAGACTTAGGCTAGTTACAGAAGCTCTGTAGACAGGAAACGATGTTTCTAAATCATACTCTTACTCAGTACCAGGAATCACTGACTGCATCGGCAGAATTATTCAGGTACCTCAGCAAGTTTGATCATTTCTTGGGGTACTTGCAAATTCCACTGACTGACCATTCTGAGTGAGTCTCACCTTTCGTGACTGACTTAATTAACACAACGTAATTACTCTTTTGATAAGGACGCAACTTACACATGACATTGCAGCTATTGTTTAGTTGTTTGAGTATTGGAGCCTACATTGATGATGACATCATTCATTCCATGGATTTTGATTTTGGAAGACCACCAGTGCTTTCTTTGGGAGACGGTAGTCACGCTTTGGCTGAAATATTGCCGATTTGACTTTAAATCTTACCTCATTCACTCACTCTTTGGGAGACTCGCTGAAGTCAGATACGACTGATGAAATGTGAATTTGGCAAAGTCAGAAACTCATTGTAAGGGTCATGTCACAGGTATAGGCCAAGATGATCAAAGTTACAAGTTTCGTAATATAAAAAGTACTGATCTTTCATATATTTTCTCTGGGTTAAAGGCTGAAATAGTTTTGGCTGTTTGTTTTGTCAGGCTGCTTTCGAGAAAACCAAAGCCATATTTACGATTTATCTTCTTCTCAAAGCAATGTTTTGGAAAAAAACCCCACACACTTCAGACTGGCAGGAGTAACATTGGACCTGTAGCCGTCCTGTTACAAGAGGACACACAAGGCTGAGAGCATCCTGTTGGATATAGTTAAAGAAACCTTGGCAACATCAGAAACATTATTCCACTTTAGCTCTAGATAAGCATTTGCAATATCCTGTGCTACTATCTACTATGGAGAACAAAAACCAATGCCTAATGTGCTATAGCTTGTCTTTGCAAGATTTTGATTTAGATACCAAGCATATCAAAGGTCTACACATTATGGCATCTGACATATATCATATTTTCAGATTATGTTTGTTTGCTGGATGGTAAGGGTTCAACATACAGGGGGTCAATGCAGAAAACGTCTTCAGGTGAAAGCTGTATTAACTGGAGTGATGCCACCTACTTTAAGAAGACAAGTCATATCAGCAATGGTAGAACAACCACAAACTGTCGGAACCCGATATTGTCCCAGAGTCGCCCTTGGTGCTACACGTCTACGGACGGAAGTCAGTACGGCCTTTGTGACATCCCCAAAATGTGCCGTAAGTTCTCAGTCTAAGTTCAGTGAAGAGTGTCTCTCTCACACACACACACACACACACACACACACGCACGCACACACACACACGCACACACACACACACACACACGTGTTCAATGAAGAGTGTGATGTGTGTGTGTGTGTGTGTGTACGTGTGTGTGTATATATACTTATAGGTCCTTTACAGATATACCTTTTACCAGTAAAAATCATATACGGTGAAATTTTATATGAATGTGAAGTGATTGTTATACCTCATAGATAAGGTATTTACTAGTTGATTGTTGTACTAATTGACTGGAGAAATTAGCTGCGCATAACATAAATTTGCATAGTTCTTTTAAGAGTTATAAAAATAACCCTAAATAAACATGTAGGAAAGCACTTTCCATTAAATTTGATGTCGCGTATCGCACGTGGCATGTGCACTTCGTGCACAATGAACTTACTTTTTGCATGCTTTTTGACACCTGAAGTTCACACACCTGATAATATTGAAAACTGAAGAACAGTTGATTATTCTCCATCCTCTGAGTGTTGTGGAAAATACGTTAATTTCAACCTAAATTACCCGTACGTCATGCCATGGATTACGCGTAGTGGGTATGCTGGAGACTGGAATGGACCAAAATGAAATGGCCAGATATTTTGGTCTCCATCGAAATACGATCTCATCTCTATGGAGACGTTTTCAATATAATTGGAACACGGGAGATTTGCCTCTGACCGGCCGTCCACGCGTGACGTGACGTCAGCAGGACAACTACATTCGACTGATCCATCTAAGGAATAGATTCCAGACTGCATGTTTGACTGCCCGGACCATTCCTGGCTTACATCCAATCAGTTCCAGGACTGTACGGAACCGACTGAGGGAGCACAACATCCGACCCCGACGGCCTGCAGTTCGTCCAATTTTGCTCCAACGTCACAGTCGCGCACGTCCTGGCCGGTGCAGACAGCATCTACGGTACAGGGGACAAGATTGGGATGGTGTTTTGTTCTCTGACGAGTCGAAATTTCATCTGACCAGTTCAGATGGCAGGGCAAGGTTGTGCAGACAGCGAAGTGAACGGTATGCTGACGCGTGCGATGTTCAACGTTGACTGTTTGGTGGCGAGGGCGTTATGGTACGGGGAAGCATCATATTTCAAGGTCGGGCACAACTTGTCATTGTCAATGGCAATCTGACAGGTCCGTGATACAGGGATGAGATCATTAGGCCTCATGCAATGACGTTCATTCTGGGACAGAGACGCTTCAGCTTCACGCTTCAGCAAGATAATGCCCGTCCACATGTCGCTCGTGTTGTGACAGATTTTCTCAGAGAGCAGAACATTCCGGTACTCCCGTGGCCAGCAGTTTCTCCGGACCTGCCCTCTATAGCACGCTTGGAATGAAATGGAGCGACGTTTACGTCAAATCATGAATCAGCCATTGACCTCAGCTGAATTGGGACAGGCGTTGGTTCAGATGTGGAACAACATTCCCCAAGCTTTCTTCAATCGCTTAGTGTCGTCTATGCGTCGCCGTTGTAAACCCCAATGGTAGACACACACGATACTGAATCTGTGAACTTGCTTTTGACACCACGTCTCTTCACACGGTGTGTCAGGATGGCTGGCCTCAAATCATACACATTTTAATATTGGAAAACACCACAATCATGTTATTTTAGCTTTTTGCATTAAAAATGGGAAATCAAACAATGCACAGTTACTTTACTCCAGTAGCATATATCTTGCTATATATACTGTAACGTATATATCCATTTGTATTTATATGTGTGCGTAATTATAATTTGTTCTCGTCACGATATGGCTGAAATAATGCCGATGTGACGATAAATATTAACTCACTCACTCATATGTGTGCGTATATATTTTTTATATCTATCTCTCTCAAACGTCATACAAATATAACTCTTAAACATTATCTTCAGTAATTTTAAATACCAATAGAGTCGCACATTTAATCAATCCTCCACAGCTACATCCTCTGATGTGACACAAGGTCGCTGGTTCGTGGACGCTGACCAGACTGTTAATGATCTCCTACTGTCCACCGAATGCCTTGTGTGGAACGATCTGTTCGCATCTGACGGTACCATCAGTGGTAGCAGCTATTCAGCTTACAATCCTACTTCTTATGAGGGAAACTTCGCTGTTGAAGATTTCTGCGTTACGGGAAAGGCGTTCAATACATCCATCCTATGCTACAAGTTCACCGAGTCTGGAACAATATGGACGGCTGGTGTTCTAGAGTGTGGTATGTCCTATGATGAAACAGTTAAAAGACAATCCCTGAAAGGGTCCCAACAGCATCGCCAGTATGAGTGACGATTAAAGTTACTGTTCTGTTGTGGTAATACAGCACCATTTTATTCCAATATGTCTATAGTATTGAATTGTCAGCACCATGAATGGTTTTATTAGTTCCCCTCTTACAATGTAGATGGTGAGATGAAGAAACCATATCATTGACCCTGCTTTGGACGCAAGTGTTCTTCGGTAATTAAGGGAGGTAAAGGGAGGACCTACCATTAATTAGTCGCCTCTCCACAGGTATTTTTCAGATCACCCATGTCAAGTCAACGGTATGCTATTTGTGTTAAGGTTAATCTATTCCAGCATCACCCAACTCACCCTAAATACCTAGTCTATTTCAGCATTTTTTCAGGAGTAATGACAGTGTTTAAGATCAAAACGGATCGAATAGGATATTAATCAGTAATATGTTTTACAAATTACAATGTCTAGCAATTTATTGTGCAGAGAAAGATAGATGAGTCCTAATATTTTCATATTTTGTTCCACGAGATATTATAAAACTTGGGCAGGACTAGTACGCAGGAATAGTGTGACACGATGATGAATGCGGTATGAGGGTTGACTCAGGAGGATAGACAGGGATCTGAGACCATGAGAAACTGGATAGACTTAGGGAGCCTGTAGAGAAATTATAGTTTCGGGAATTTAAGGTTAAAGAAACCTTATCCAAAAAAGGAATCCTACAGCTGAGAATGAGACATGGCTGGAATAGTTGTTTAATGAACTGTGTACCATGGAGACTACCTGTACATGTACAGCACAGATATTTGATTTGTGGAGAAACATTGATCCCCTATCTCGTGATTTGTACATGTTATCATTTGTAGTTTTGACGGTCAACCCCATTTACGTCGGTTCAACCAAAATATTGAACCTCCAATACGAGTCCTTACAGCTTTCATCTCTCTCTCTCTCTTTCTCTTCCTCTCTTTCCTTCTCGTTCCAAACGTCCCTAGTATGGTGATCTACCTTCAGTTGTTGGCGATCTATTGCCTATTTTTATATTGTGCTGTCCCCTAAAGTTAAAATGTTTTAGATTTAATTACTAGTTTTACATGTATATCTGCGATATTCTAGTTGTTTTACTGTCCTTCGTCGGCAGGTTTTTATAATATCTGTGTATATACTCTATTTAAATGTCTCTGAAATATTGCCTCTCTCTCTCTCTCTCTCGTTCCAAACTGGTTCTCAATGCCTGACTTGAAGGCATCAAAAATGCTTCTGAGTGTCGCCTGAAAAGTCATATACTGTATAAGATGTAAGTATTCCCATTTTTTTCTTTTTCCCCACAGTGGACTGTGGGTCTCCCCTGAAGTTGACAACGCTACCGTGTCCATATCCTCTAGTCTTCGGAACGGAAAAGCCACATATGCATGTGTAACAGGGTACAAGCGCGCTTCCGGTTCAAGTAACTTCACATGTCTCTCATCGGGTCTGTGGGAGGTTCCTGATTTAGTTTGTAAAGGTACGTTGTGGTTGTATCTTCATAGGGGACCATGAACCTTTGTTCTGGCTTTACTTTGAGCCCACAACTTGCATTCCTTTGTTTTGTTGTTGATGTTCCCCTATCCTATCGCCTGTTCGGCTTCCACTTCACAAATGTCTGCATGAAATGCTCGAAAATGCAAAGGCATTCTTTATTATTTGTCATTTTGAAACACAAATTGTATATAACTTTATTGACAGAAACGTATTTTTTGTATCAATCATTAATACTTTGCGTGTTTTCTTTAAAATGTAGCAAACCAGCATTTCTATGTCGCGGGTCCTGGCCGCAGATAAATTGGACTGAGGCGCAGTGGTTAAAATGATGTTTATTCTGTAGATATATATTAGATATATCAAGATATGGCGAACCTTTATGATTTACGTTTCTTAGCGAAGAAAGTATTTGTGAAAAGTACATACCTGTAAAACATTAGAAGACATCAGTACAAGATGGGGTGTAACAACTCGGCCGTGACGAGACATGAAGTGGCAAATTTGAAGATGCCTACGTCACAGAACAGGTAATGCACGAGATACTACTAATATTACAACCAGCGTAAGGGTGAGACAAGAAGCGCTCGTAAATGAGCAGAGAGAAATGAAACAAGAGATACGCAATGAATTGGGAAATACGTCCGGCGACATCTATATGACTGGCTGAGTATGGTTTTACGCCGTTTTTAGCAATATTCCAACAATATCACGGCGGGGGACACCCGAAATGGGCTTCACAAGTTGTACCCATGTGGGGAATCGAACCCGGGCCTACGGCGTGACGAGCGAACGCTTTAACCACTAGGCTACCCCACCTTCCGGCGACATCTATACGAAAAGAGGTTGCAAATGATCTAAACAATTTAATATTAGTGTGACTGAATGTGGAATTTATGTAAAGAAAAAACTGATGATGGTTAAACGACAGTCTGCCAAGACAAAAGCTGCTGGAATATTACTGGGGACAAAGTGAACACTCTGAAAAACCCATCAGTGCACATTATTTTGTTACTCTGTATCCTAATGTACAGATGTAAAGATGAAACAGTTGAGGTTGTTTCAGTGTTCCCTGGTTGAGGATGGGTTGGGGAAAGTCAGTGGAGGGAAATGAGCACTTACGATTATTAAACTTTAAACTTCTTGTCCAAATTCCTGATGTGTTTTATGCATATCCCTGTAGAAATTCCGATGCATTGACCACGATCTGAATATGCAAGAAAATTGGTATTTGAAAATAGTCTTTATCGAATTATTGCCCTTGATTTATTCTTTTCAACTTGTGAACTGCGTGAAAGGGGGCAAACATTCTCGGAACTTTCTGATGTAACACGAATGAAAGTAAGAAGATAAGAGGTACTTATCCAGAAGAGAGGTGCCATGGGGTTCTTTTCCAGAGTTACTTGTGGTAGCTGTCTCTTCATGAACTTTCGAGTCGTATATGACTGACTAAGGCTGTTATCGTCAATACTTGTTACCATGACATCTTAAATTGATTTGCATCTTGCAGTTTACTGTGGTGACCCGCCAGAAAATAACAGGACCGAGGCTTCAAATACCACTGGATTCGTCAACGAGACTGTTGAGTACACGTGTAAACCTGGGTATTCACACCTATCGGGATCAACCGTCATCAGCTGCCAAGAAACAGGGGCATGGGAGGAACTAATGATACATTGTGAAGGTACATGTCCTCGAAGAAGTGGTCCGTAAGACCCAAAACTTTCAAAGTAAAATGTAAATTTACCATATTTTAAACGTAGTATCTTTGTTCTTTTAACTGCCGGCTAAATTTTCCTACAATCGCCAGCGGCTGAAGGGATGGTGTAAATCCAGCTAGGGTCCATGCAGGTAGCAAAAGTAATGTAAGTCCCCATGGTTCCTAGTATGGTGATCCTACCTTCAGTTGTTGGCGATCTATAGCCTATTTTTATCTTGTATTGTCCTAATAGTGCTATTAGTTTTAACCTTTCACACTAGTTTTAAATCTAATTGTGATATTCTAGTTGTTTTACTGTCCTTCGATGACAGGTTTTATAATATACACATATTCCATTTCAATGTAAAATGTTCTCGTCACGATATGGCTGAAATATTGCCGATGTGACGTTAACTATTAACTCACTCACTCACTCACTCACTCCTCGAAGAAGTTACATGTGATATGGATTGGCAGGTGTTTGCGTGAGGACAATGAGTAACTTCTGAAGAATTTCTTGTAGAGATGGTAAGGGACGAGGGTGGGTGGGAACGTGGCTTGAAGGCGAAGGTGATGCTCAAAGATTGACTAGTCGTAATAGCAGTATTGTACTGATGCCTGTGACTGGAGAAGAGATGGCTAGAGACAGTGACATATCTTTTTATCAGTTTGGGGGAGATCCGCTCATTGTGAGCCACAAATTCATGTGATGGCAACAATAGCTGCTTTTGTGACATGACGTGACATCGGTTCCCGGACCAGCAATTTTGAGATTCATGCACACACGGTCACATGCTAACTGGAAATGGTATTTCCTTCTTATGTTCCGATAGAAAGCAATAACGTAGACTCCGTTTTTCGGATTCCACTAACAGACCATGACGTTGTTGTTCGATTTTTGTGGGTTGTTATATTCTTGTATCATTATCATCATACAATTCGCCTTATAAGCATGTCGCAGATTTGAGATCAAGAAAGCATATTTATTGGTCAGTTAAAAAGCCCCGTATCAAATACACATATCAGAATTTACAAATCATTTGAAATCCTTTAAATGGTGAGTGATCGGGTTTTGACACGGGGCTTTCAAAACGGTTTTAAAATGATAAATGTAGATTTTTATGTATGGAACTGTAAGAACCTACTTCAATATAAAGATATGTAGTAGTCACGTCAGTATATCTTTAAATAAAGGGCGTTTAGGCGAGTCTCATAAGACGTGCATCACCATTTGATATTAGGTGTCATGATTAAGAGCCTTTGTTTCTTTTCCTCCTTTTCCTTCAATGTATTTATCAGTCGACTGTGGAGATCCCTCGCCAATAGACCACGCAGACATGTACGTCAACGCCACATGGCTGGGTCAGACCGTCAATTACACCTGCCATGACGGTTATGTGCATACGTCAGGGTCCGACCAGGTCACGTGTCTTGAGACTGGCGTTTGGGATGTTGCAGATATGACATGTGAAGGTAAGTTATGAAAACATTTATGAATTAGTCCATGATATATGAATGTCTCGTATATCAGAGAGACTCAGGATTTATAGCTGTTCCCCAACCACCAATGCTGATTGAAAGAGGATCGGGCGCTCAATGAGGGAGTGAGTGAGTTTATTTTTTCGCCGCACTCAGCAATATTCCAGCTATATGGCGGCGGTCTGTAAATAATCGAGTCTGGACCAGACAATCCAGTAATCAACAGCATGAGCATCGATCTGCGCAGTTGGGAATCGATGACATGTGACAACCAAGTCAGCGAGCCTGACCACCCGATCCCGTTAGTCGCCTCTTACGACAAGCATGGATTACTGAAGGCCAATTCTAATATTCCAACCCGGACCTTCACGGGTCTCGGGTGCTCAAACCCCAAACGGCATCAATTGCTGCTCATAGTAACAATCATCTGATTGTCTGGTCCAGACACGATCATTTACAGGCCGCTGTCCTATTGCATAAAATATTGCTGGTTGTGCCCTTAAACAAAAAGAAACAAATACATAAAGCTACATTTAGGGTTCTCTATTTGTCTATCTACAATAACAGTGAAGTAGATATATTCTGGATAATTGTAATTTGTTACCCATCAATATTGCAAGAGAAATGCCAATTTGATCGATTCAAAATATGATATATGCATATAGATTGTCGACCTTCTGATGTCCAGATCATTCGTTAGGAGGCTATGAAATACATGCTTTGTTACAGGGATGCTTTAGCTACCAAACGTGGACAATAATTATAAAACGTTTGTTAATGCGCATCCGTGGATGTCTGTGATACAGGTTGTCGCATGCAAAAATGGAAGTTCTATTTTCGAGCAAATTGTCGATGTTCATGTCCAATTGTCCACACGATTAATTCCATTGGTGTGTAATTTGAGTATTTATTATATAAAGTAAAGCAAATAAGGGAATCATTATAGGATCATTTTGGGCTTTACTGCTCTTTTATCAAAAAGTAACGGTGTTGTATCTGTCAAATTTAATACCTGTGCATATTACAGCCACATCATCATCATCATCATCATCATCATCATCATCCCAGCAATTTTCCATTGTAGTGTTATTGCTTACTCGCAATACCATTGCATTTTCTCCTTCAATCTACAGCTGGTTCCTTTAATCTACTTAGTTTTATGTATAAAAACATTGAACATCTTGAGGAAAACCACATATATATTGTTATTATGACTAACTTACAATAAACCTCACCACAATTTGTCTCAGTATCTTGATCAAGGGGGTGTAGGCGAGTTTCATCACCATTTGAAATTATGTTCCATGACTGAAGCCTGTTGTTTTCTTGTCTTCATTCCCTTCAATGTATTCATCAGTCGACTGTGGCGATCCCTCGCCAGTAGACCACGCAGACATGTACGTCAACGCCACATGGCTGGGTCAGATCGTCAATTACTCCTGCCATGACGGTTATGCTCATACGTCGGGATCGGACCAGATCACGTGTCTCGAGACTGGCGCTTGGGATGTCGCAAATATGACATGTGAAGGTAAATAATGAAAACAATATATAACAACATATATGATTGGCCCAGACTGGATTATTTTAAGGCCGCCGTCTGAGTGCGGGACGATATAGCTGAGTGCTGCGTTTTACAAACAAACCCAACTACACATATACATCCCTCCATGCTAGTTCTCTTTATTTGTCTATTTACAATAAGAGCGGAGTTGATGTGGTTTGTATGAGAAATGTTACACCTCGGTATTGCAAGGGATATTCGAAATGGATTGATCATATAAAATATGAGTCCATATTTTTCTTCTTGTCAAATCTCCTTTACATCTGCACAAGATGTTTCGCCGTTCAACGGCTCTTCAGGTGTACAATGAAAACATTTTTTTGAAAGAAACATGAAAATGTTTTTCATTGTACACCTGAAGAGCCGTTGAACGGCGAAAGATCTTGTGCAGATATAAAGGAGATTAGACAAGAAGAAATATCTGGACTCATAATTTATATATTTATTGCTTATACACCTGCAGAAATCACTTGCGTTTTTATATACATGTATATATATATATATATATATTCCTGATGGCCATGTCGGCCAAATACTCTTTTTTCTTCAAACGTAACGTTGTCCCATGTGGCAAAATTGGCAGACACACAATATGGTTGTTGTGTCCATACTCACCTGAACCGACAGTCATGAACAGTCAAATTAGGAGATAATCCTATTGCGTTTAAATTTTGAAAGTGATTATATCTGGTTGAACGCTGCTAAATGTTTCATTTAAAACCTCACGTTGTAAACGCAATAGGATTATCTCCATTCTACCATGACATATGCACCATGAATAAAACGCGTTTTAAATATGCACTCATTACCCTTGCGTAGTGTTGTTTACCTTTGTAAGGGTTAATGAGCGCAAAATATTCCTACGCGCAGTGAGCCTGCTCTCAGAAGTGGTTATTGAAAATTTTCACTTCCAATTTTTTTAGTAACAGCCAATCAACATACTTAAATGTCACTGTAGAATGCATAATTTATTAATACCCACAAGCTACCATGTTACATACATGATTTTATCGTTCACTCCCTCTGTAGGTTGATCAATCTACGAATACAAAAATATGACATCCATGGTTACTCCCCAGTTATGAATACGATTAATATTGTTATTATATTATTTACTTGTCATATACTTCATCACCCGTGATGATCATGGTTAGAATTGGTCTTCAGTAACCCATGCTTGTCGTAAGAGGCGACTAACGGGATCGGGTGGTCAGGCTCACTTGGTTGACACATGTCATCGCATCCCAACTGCGTAGATCGATGCTCATGCTGTTGATCACTGGATTGTCTGGGCCAGACCGCCGTCATACAACTGGAATATTGCGAATTCTGCAAATACTGAGATTGCAGTAGTTACTGGATTGTCTGATTATTGAATATATACACATAGTTGGACTATTGCTGAATGCGGCATTATACAACACAGATCAATAACCACATAATCATTACTATGTATTTCCAGTTGACTGTGGAACCCCACCTCCTGTCCTTCACGCCGAGATGACTGTTTCCGGCACGTGGGAGAGCAACGTTGCACAGTACACATGCCATGTTGGGTTTCTGCCTCTGGGGTCAGCATTCGTCACTTGCCTACAGAACGGCAGTTGGGAATCTCCGTCTTACATGTGTGAAGGTAGACGAGCATCATTGATTTAAGTTAACCATGGCGATAGATAACCGTGTGTATTAACTTCCGATATGTGCATGGTAGCCATTCCCAATGCTGACTGGCCCTGACGTGATTTGCTATTATAAGGGTAACGCTATTTTTCAGGGTATTATCATTTGCAGAAGCCCGAGGTATTTCATTAAAAAACCGAGGGCTTCTGCAAAAGATAATGCCCTGAAAAAGGGTCACTGTTATTATAGCTAAAGCGGGTAGAATAATAAACAATTAACAACAAACAACGGTATCGGTTTTGAAGCATTTACTGCTAACAACAAACGACAGAGGTCACAGACACACCCTTTTGCAAATATGGAAACGTCATAGAACAAAACTGATGACGTCACTATTGAGTGACGACATTTGACCTTGACCTTTGCCCATACTACCCGCCGCCATTTTTTCGATGCTCAACAACGTTAGAGTTCCAGTCGATGTTTTCATTGCTACATGTAGTAATTTATGGTACAATTGTTAAGGTTAGCACCGGCAAGAAAGTGCATAATGGCAGAGGTACATGTGACGAATGTGAGTCAGAACAATCGTCTATATTGAACCTAAGTTCAAACGAGCCGTAGGTGATTGAACATCAAGAGCTGAGCTCCTTATAACGTCAGCTAACAACGGGCCTGATAATGGCCCGTTGTTAAGCAATTTTGGGGCGTTATCAAGTTACAGTGGCCCGCTCATTTCTGATAACATGCTGGCGTTTTAATGAAAATTCTATCCATTTTAGCTATAATAGCAATTTAACAGACTGCCGATAACTATTCTGACACTCAGATGCTATCCTCCTTGAACCTGTTTCAAAACATTATTCTGCTAATGTCTGAATTACCAATGTTCCAGTTAATACAGCTGATTATCAGTATGCAATGTAGAAACTCTCTAATCAAAACCACATAACACAATATGCAATGCAGTATACTCCTTCAAACACAGCTTAAACGTGTCCAGGGCTCCAGATAAGGGCCGTATCGGCGTATGTACGGAGATAAAATATGCACGATACGGTAGGAAATAATTTTAGAAAACGTTGCAGATACGCACTACATCAATGGTGTACGGTCTTAGAATAATTTACTGACGTATTTTTTTTATAGTATTGTTTTATTGTTTATTGACCTGTTTAGATAAGAGTAGCAATGTTGTGGTGCATATAAGAAACGAAACACAAGATTACTGATACTCCTGTAAGTCCAACTAGTACTCTAAATGGTTTTCCAGTACTCCTCTGTTGAAAATATAAGGAGTACGTACTATTGATGTTGAAAAGTTATCTGGAGCCCTGAGTGTCTATTATAATTATATGCTTAAAATAAATGTCGTTTCATGATAATTCAAATTAAACATTCTTCCGAAATGTAAATGGCTTTTCCAAAATACCGCTATAAAAAATAATATAGTTTAGCCTCAAAATAAACATTTGTACAGATTCTTTCACAACCAATGTTCCATTTTGATCACCACGCTTCCAGCCGAATGTATAAGGCACTTGTACCAAACAAAAACCACCAAAATACAATTCTCATTCCAGAAGTTGAGCCACCAAAGGAATTACCAGTTGATAAATACGGAAGAACACGCACTGAAAAATGTATCTGTCGATGCATCAGAATTCAACGAAAACAAGAAGACATTGTGGCCGAAATATCCAAAAAGCTGACTTTGAACACGAAGAGCCTGCTGTCCAACGTAATGACAAAGGAAAGCCTTCCGGACGAGAGGAAGTCATCTCATGGCATGGCCTATGTTGCAATGTCAGTAATTGGAACTCTATTCGGAGTTGTATTCTTTTCGGACATATATTACGTCATAAACGGAATAAAAAGACATCTTAGCGTTCGTGGATGAGGGTGAATAAGAAGTCGTTAAAGAAAACAGATTCACCTATGTAGCAAGGGGAGAGGTGAGGAGGGTTAATACACCCGACCTCGTCTCCTACAGCAGCTAAAATTTGATATGGAGATACATTCATGCTTAACATTGGAGCTGGCATCACTTAAAATAAAATATTTATGTAATTAAACATGGTTCGCATTAGAACTTGTGCATCATCTGCAAGCTTTGCCGGATCCGTACGGTACACTTGTCTGTTGCTATTTTGAAGAATGTACATGGTTATAATACTTGTATAAGTATTTGTACTTTTGTGACATCTTCTAGATAACACGTTTCTCTGACTTTTGAGTGATTCAAGTGTACCTTCTAACCAATGAGCGTTTCTCATACATGTTTAAGAGGTCACTGTATATCTCACCAAATGGCAAAGCAGCTTTCACTGATGAGGGTTTCTCATGCATCATTGAAGCAGATTACTGTTAAGCTCTCCCCAGAATAATTAGAAGTAAGTCACAGATGGCGGCCTTTCATAGATTATATAAGTAGGTTTCAGTTTAACTCTCACAATAAAGACCCGTGAAGGTCCGGGTTAGAATGAGACTTCAGTAACCCATGCTTGTCGTAACGGGATCGGGTGGTCAGGCTCGCTGGCTTGGTTGACACATGTCATCGGTTCCCAATTGCGCAGATCGATGCTCATGCTGTTAATCACAGGATTGTCTGGTCCAGACTCGATTATTTACAGACCGCCGCCATATAGCTGGAATATTACCGAGTCTGGCGTAAAACTAAACTCACTCACTCACTCACAATAAAGGCTGTCACTAATGACATTTTCTTATACACCAGACTAACAGGTCACTGTATAATTCTCAACATGATAAGAAGGCAGACAGAATTCCTTGGTATAACTATGTACCCTGGTAGGTCGAGGAAGAATTATATTTCTATTTGAAAAACCCGAAAAATGCGTTTTATTTCACAGAAAATACACTTATCTAAATATACTTAGCACTGCTCCTCTCCTATTCTTGTAAAACTTGTTATAGATCGCATAAATGTTGAAGTGGAAAAGATTATTATGAGTTCAAGATCATATTTTTGCTGTACTTCGCACAGAACCCCTTTAGTAGTATTTGAACTGTTTCCTAATTACTTTTGAAAATAAGCTATGGACCTAAATCTAGGTCGCACAAACGTTGAAGTATAAAAACATTTTCAGTTCAAAGCATAAAATATGTACTTTAAAAAAAATAAAATATTGAAAATGCATTTCGGACTGCACATCTCCAATTGGTATAAAAACGTCGCCTGAAAACCAGAGTGTTCTTAGTCCACTTTTGACAAAATTAGAGTTAGTATGCTCGGGGTAGGTTTTAGAGCATAATCTATTACTCTAGCAACTTTTTACAGTGCTAGCTTTGAAAGTGGTTTTTCAAACACAAACTTTGTTCTATCTCCATGAAAAATCACATGGTACTAGTTTTCGAGTGTTCTAAGTTGTCAATTGACCAATGAGCAAGCACAATTTGATCACATGACGTTGCGATTTACCAATTTTGAAGTGATTTTCATCATGGAAATGGAACATTTTAACTCTGTTCTCATTTCTGCTTTATTTCATAAAAATATAGTCGTTATGAAAGTAAAAAAGGTTTAAACAACAACAAAACAACCTGGTAACAATCAAATATCCATATAATTATAATAAGGCTGATATTTAGCTGTGTTTCTGACACTTAGAACACTTTGCTTTTGAGAAAAATCACGAGTTTCTTTGGTCAATCTCCAATCATTTTTCATGAATTCCTTCATTTATTTCAATAGATTGGGCATATAATTTGCTATTTTCTGATTATGTTTGACATGTCACGTTGCATGTGCAAAATTCCAACGAAATCGATGGAATAGTTTACAAGATATTGTTGTCCTAAACTTCCAGGTCGATTTTCTCTAAAATAGGTTTTTGTGACTTAGTACATTTTCAGAAATGTTTTCACCAAGTTTGAAAAGATTCTACACAGTAGTTTTCTAGTTAAAAATAAAACATACGACTTTATGGATAACAATCTTTTGTTTTATTGCACAGAGCGACATTTTGGTGCAGATAGCTCATAACGGTGTAAGAATAAACAAGAAGTTGTAATCCATAAAGTTGTATGCGTTATTATTTAAACAATTAGTTTTCAAGATATAGGTCGCACAAATGTTACACATGTTAAAATCGGTAAGTTCAGAATCATTTCATTGCAGAAAATTCATATTTAATTCAATTTAATCCTCCTCTTCTCTTTAGTTTGGAAACTGCTCACTAATTAAGTTCTAAAATGATCCAAGGAGTAGTTTCCAGTCCCACAAATGTTGAAGACACACAAATCATACGTTCAAAGCATGTAAAATAAAAGTACTTTTTCAGAAAACCCATATGTTGAAAATGCACTTTGCACTGCATCCCTACGGAGGCTGTTCAAGTTTGAAATGAATCTAAAACATCTCTGTGTAGGAAAGCCGGAATTCCTTGGTGTAACAATATGCCGCTGACGTTTTGAGTCGGAGGTATAATATTCATAAGAGAAACAGTCTACTTGGAACCAAACTGTATCAACAACTACCACATATCCATACATTCCTTCACCCTAGTGAAGAACCCACAACCCCAGTCACAAGAACGCTTCCACATCCTACATCCACAAACTAGCCTACGCTTACACATCTAGTACCCATTTAATAATACAAAAGTAGTGAGTGAGTGAGTTATTATTTAACGTCACATCGGCAATATACAAAAGTAGTGACAAAAAGGCTCATTGGAGACACACATTTGTTCCTTGACATTTTACAAATTATCCATTTTAATCTGTTATGTAAAAATATTCACTACTTAACAGCTCGGACACCATATCAGAATAACGACAGAATAATGTAAGGAAAGCTTTATTTTGATTCAGACGAAATATCTATACACAATGCATTCTTTTCAGAGCACGCTGCAGGAATATATATTTTTGAGTATTTGTGTGATCATTTTGTCGAACTCATTATGTTTCAAATATCACTTGCACATAAGTCACTACAAACTGTTATATATGCTGATCCACTCTACGTAAATATGTGTTTGCGTAGCTCACAGACGATTGCCCTGTTTTCACAAATAGCTAGCCAGAAGTCTACACGAGGGTTGATTCTTATCCAAATGAGGACTGTTTTATTTTTCTAGGTTTGTTAACATTATGGGCGCAGCTAGTACATGTAAAATATCTTCATTATTTTCCTCCAACATTATGTTGATTGTCGGTTGCTTGATATAACTAAAATATTGTAAAATCTAAATTCATTTGTATTTGTCTTGTTTGACACACCAATATCGCGACAATTGTAATAAACAGGTTTATCAACCATACTATCTGGTCATGTTATGTTTTCTAGGGCACGTGTAAGCAAAGATATTGTGGCACACAGACAACAAGGAGAACATGTGTTAAACTTGTACTTTCAACTGAAATGTTATTACATGGAAAGACGAATGTTTCAAGGAAAGGTAACGATCAACAGTCCATAAGAAATACGCACCTAGCATATGCAAATGAGCCAGAAGTAGGTGTTCACCAGCAAGTTCACACGGTCAGTAGCGAGTGTGTCCACCTTGTGCATTGATGCAGGCACCCGTGAAGGTCCGGGTTAGAATTGATCTTCAGTAATCCATGCTTGTCGTAAGAGGCGACTAACGGGATCGGGTGGTCAGGCTCGCTGACTTGGTTGACACATGTCATCATATCCCAATTGCGTAGATCGATGCTCATGCTGTTGATCACTGGATTGTCTGGTCCAGACTCGATTATTTACCGACCGCCGCCATATAGCTGGAATATTGCTGAATGCGACGTAACACTAATCTCACTCACTCACTCATTGATGCAGGCCTTATACCTTCACCGGATTGAGGCCGATAATCGTCGATTGAAGTCCTGAGAAAGATTAGTCTATATCCGAGGAAGGATTTTGCGGAGTTCCTTCGGCGCTGTGGGGGATTTGGACGACGTCGTAAAGGTCGCTCCATTTAATCCCAGACGTGTTTATGTCTTTCATTCATCCTTATTTCAGGAGAAACTTCATTTGGATTAATTCAATGTGCTAACTAATGAAGCGTCTTTAAAATATATACATGTTGAACCTCACCAATGTGAGTCTTGCAGACGTCAGCCCAAATCCAGCTGACTACAATCCTTTTTAACTGAACGGCCCGAATTGTCCAGCACCATAGAACAATAGCAGACTCGGGTGTACACTAGTAGTGTTCCGATTAATTGAAATAATCGAAGATTGGTCGCAGTGACCAAACGACCAAGCAATCGATCACATTTTCTCATAATCGAACATAAACGATTTTGGACCTACTGTTTTAGTCTTTGAAATACTTGACAATGGAACATATCTTAGACGTTGTCAGGGCCTGAAAACATGTTTATTTCTTAGAAACCTCACTCCACTAACTTAAAAGTCATGACTGAATATTTCTCTAAGACTCCAGGAAGTTTATGTTCATGATAAAATTAGTCATCACTTTAATGTAGCAAGTTGCAACATGTTATACTTTTCTGCAGTAACAACCTGGATAGGAAAACCTGAAAAATGACGCTAACCAATATTTTTCGATGATTGTTCGTTGGTAATGAAGCAATCATCAATTATGAGATTTCAACCAATTCCCAACACTAGTGTACACCGATACAGAATCCCCTTGTTCCTGAATGCAAATACCGGTGAAAAATAACAATGTTTCACTTGAAATTAGCGATGACAGGAGCCATTTGCGAAAAGGATATACAACTCCTTCCTTACAATCAACTCGCAAAATTGGCTCATGGACGTTATTGCCGATTCTTGAACAGTCAAGTAGCAACCTAATGAGTTAAAAATGTACTGTCTGGAAAGGGGCCATTACAAGCTTTGTCCACAGTGCACCGAGGATCTCTCCCAAAGCAACTCTAACGTCTCAATGCCCTCTACTCGGATATGCTTAATATATACTCACAGGCAAAAGTTAGTGTGATCAAAACATTTGTTTATATAAATGAGAAAGTTTTTATAACGCATTTCAATATTCTTTATATAACTGACTGACTGACTGAGTTTAGTTTTACGCCGCTTTTAGCAATATTCCAGCAATATCACGGCGGGGGACACCAGAAATGGGCTTAACACATTGTGCCCATTTGGGGAATCGAACCCGGATCCTCGGCGTGACGAGCCAACGCTTTAACCACTAGGCTACCCCACCGCCCCTTTATATAACACTTAATTCATAACCAAAACAGGGTCCTGTTGGAGTTTTTGCATGCGTTAATCGTGCTTTCAAGAAGTTGGTGGAAAAAAGGCATAAAACGAGCCCTTTAAAAAGTGTGGCTCTAAACTTCGAATCATTGTCACCCAAATCATTGTTCAGACGTCGACGGGTGCAAAAAACACAAAAAACACAAAAAAACGTGGGATGAATTTCTTGCACATATTAAAAAAACGTGGGATGATATTTTCTTGCAATATTAAAAAGATCTCATCATAAAAATATCAATTGTTAATTCACATTTCAAACTCCATCTGTCAAGCTTTGGAATATTTAGAAAGAATGAATAGCCATG